TTAGTTTGTTGATTAAAATCGTAATTTAAGGGAGTGAAAAATTTTGACTACAAAAAATATGGGTCCTGCGCACAAAAAATTATCTATGCCTATAAGGCCTAAGGCACCAATATATGTGCCCTTAGACCAATAGCAACAGTGTAGCAACCAAAATCTTATGGGAACTTTATTGAAAAGCTCTCGGTACTGTTCATTTTAACAAAAAATCATATTTTTACACTAAAAAGTCAATCCTGGTACTATTCATTTTACCCTTTATTTTGTCATTATCGTTAAAACTTAAAGTTTTCAAGTCATTTTCATTAATTTTCCTAAATTCTTATATGTGATCGTGTCATAGGGTACAATACTATGTTTGGTGCTCAATGATGTCAGCACAAATGAACGCCTTTTTATGCCTTCATTCTGACAAGTTGCCAGATTACTTTCCCATCCATGTTAACAAAATTTTTATTACTGTGCCCAATAGGTTAAATATTAAAAAAAAAAAACATAAAATTCAAATATTACAAAATAAAATCAAATAGTAATACCATTGGTAAGAAATATTCAGCTTGGTTTTACATGCACGTCCAAGATACCAATAAAACTATGGGTCGGGCTAAAACAAACAGGAATTCAAAGAATATCTCAAAATAGGCCATTTCCTACAACGTTTAACAAACAGGAATTCAAAGAACTTAGGAGATTAGTAGTTGGTCTGGAGTTTAATTGATAGAACACATAAGTGTAATGGAAAAAAATGCACACCTTGCCTTGGGCATGTCAATTAACTGTTGGGCATGACAATTAACTGTAAGACATAATCAAACCTTAAATCTGAAAGCGCAAAGTTTTTTATAATACCCAGGCCTGCAAATTAATCCCAAACCATGTAAGCACACAACAAGAAAAACCCAGACTATAGAAAGCTACAAAAAGGTCTACACATATGGACATGCACTTGGGAATTAAAAAAAAAAAAAAAAGAAAAAAAAAGAGATTTGGTACAACTATCAAGCCCCAAACCATTACTGTGGATGCTTACAAATTTAAAATGCTGGCGCTGTTCAATAATTAAAACTCAAAATTTAATGTTTCGCATGTTCCAGATTTAGTGTAGTATCAAAAAGGTTGAGCAATATCTTTAATTTGGCAACTCAACATAACAAAGTCAAGTATAATTGAGGAAATAAAGATGCATAGATGTACTTACATTAAGAGAGGGGAGCAATTAGAGACATGCACTTTACATATTCAAATCTCATCTTCTTAGAATTAAGATGCATGCATTGTACCCAAAGAATCAACGACCTCATAAAAAAAAAAAAAAAAAAAACCTACATGTTCAAAAATACAATAAAAGAAATTTGAAATCGGAATTGCAAAATTCATAAACACTTAACCCATCTTCCTTTCAAAATTACTACATATTTCTCTCAGACCCTATTTCCTATAACACCACAAACACGCCAAATAAGTAAGAGTACGGAGGATGGGGTTGAATGAGATAAGGGGGAGCGGGACATAGAGGGAGAAAGGAAAGGCGAAGAGAGTGTGAGGTGTTAAGATTGACACAAATAAATTAATAAACAACTGTGGGATTGGAAAAGTAAATGTGTAAAGGACACGAAAATCCACTTTTTATTTAAATATATTAAATTAAAGGGCACGGAAGCATTTATCTTGTCTTTGCAAATTAAGAATAAATTTCCGAAAGGCCCCATGCAAGCTGGACGGACATTAAAGGCACGAAAGTCATGGTTTCCGTGACGACCCATTCCAAATTATTATATATATTTTCTTCCCAAGTGTGTAAAATAACGATAATGCTCTCATGGTGTAGTGACGTGGGTGTACATATTCAGGATTAAATTAATTTTCTCGCTGACGTAATTAAATCGTACTCGACATCAGGAGCGTATTGACGCGAGTTAGGGTTGAATCGGCTCCTTTATGACAATTTATGAGCGAGATCGGGTAGAATTTAATTTTTGGGTTGTTTATCACCTAGTCACCAATCAAATTAGTTCCTATTATCCTTAGCCCAATCAGATTTTAGGTTGGTTTATTTCCTTTGCGCCATTTGAAACTCGCTAATTCTCTTTCTTCTTCACGGCAGCCCAATCAGGGGCCTTATTATTTTCTTGTTGGCCAATCTCGTGACCACATACATACACACACACACACACATACACACGTATCACCCTTACGTTCTCACCTTTCCTCGATCCTTCTTCCCCGTCCATACGATCCGAGACTTACAACTCACAAACACCATCAAACCTCACAGATCAAGTATTTGGACACCACCATCACTTTTCTCGTGACTCCATGAGTTTGTCCATACCCTTAGGTTGAGGAATTGATGTCGGGAATTCAAGAACTCGCGAGCTCCAGCGAGGTGTATTTTTCTCCATTGTGATCTTGGTTTTTTTTCAAAGGTTTAAAGGATTAGTTTTGGAGCAGTTTGAACATTCAAATAGGCGAGAACACGGAGTTGCAGGTTTGGGCCGGTTGTTCCAAGCCTTATTCCAACCATTTTCCGTCAGTTTTAGGACCTTAAATAGGTAAGATTGTGTTCTTCTAGTTGAGAGCTTCAAATCCATATAAAATTCGTGGAATTTGGTTGAAAAATGATGAAGATATTAAAGTTTTAAGATTTTCTAGAAACCGGCTACACAGATGACGGCCAGCGGCGGATTCTAGCGAGTCACCGGAAAAGGAAAGGGAATATTCCACCAACTTTGACGGAATATACTGACGGCGTTAGGTAACTCCATTAGTTTCTAAACGGAATATTCTATTATTTAACAGAATATTCCCTAACGCCGTTAGAGATTCCCTCAGTGTGCCAAGCATGTGCCTGTGCATGGCCGGCACATGTGGCCATGCCTTCGCCGGTGCGTGAGACGTCATAAAGTTATTCTAAAAATATGCGGGTGTTCGTGGTGTTGAGTAGGTCACGTTGGTATATTCAAACACCCTAATTGAGCAACGTGTGAGAAGTTAATCCTAGATTGTGTTTATGTGCTATCGAATTAACGTTAAATTAGTTATCTCGCATATAGGTGAGATGCACCCTGAGGACGAGCATGGTCAGGCAAGACTTGGGGGCTACGATCCTGCTACTTACCAGTGAGTGGGCTTTTGTTTTCTATATATATGTATATATGCTTACGACTCCCAGAAACTGTTTTAAATGAACCCATGTTTTAAATGCCATGTCATGTGTGCATTACGTTTTAGTATTGCATTAGTATGGTTATGCATAGTATTGGATGAGGTTGTAAAGGCCCAGGTAAGTTTCAGGTGAGTACATCATGATGGTATTAGTTGCATTTTGTATGGTTATACGTAGATGGATTTAGAGCTCATTATCCTGCATCCTGGTGTTAGTGCTCCCGCCCGTGGCCAGGGCACAGTCCTTCACGTGATGTTCACCTCCTGCACCGCACGCCCACCTTGGATCCAAGTTTGGTGCACAACCCTATCATACAAACCACAATTGGTGGTTCCGACTTACAGGTGACCCGCGATTATTCGCATAACCTTTACATGATCATAGCACTTGAGCGTACTTATTTACACCCAGTCCTGTCATACAGACCACACTAGGTGGTTCCAACTCGTGTGTAGGCATACTTGATGAGCTATAGGTTCAGCCGTATAGATCACATTAGGTGACTCTGGCTGACATATTATTTTACATTGATTCGTATCACTTGGCATACACATATTATTGTTGAACATCTTGACATGGCATACCTCTATTTTCACTGCTTTTAAGCATTGTTTTTATATACGTACATGTTATTTTCTTTTGGGAAATTATACGGGTTTTAATGTGAGGGGTTAGTCATAAAGACAACTGTGTTTTCAAAAGCTTTGTTTTTGCCCACTCACGATTTTAGTTTTGCGCTCCTCCAGGTTCTAGCTAGTTGAGTTTCCCTGTGGCTCACGAGGACTTCTCGTGGTTTTGATAGGCATCCAAATAAATGTAGGAATTTCTTTCATGTTCTGTATAATCAATACTTAGTTTACTGGGCTGCACCTAGGTTGCCTATGCTCTGAATATTTGTATCTCTACTTTAAACACTTCCACACACTTACATATTATCCCTAATGTAAATTAGTTAGTTTGGTTTTTATTCACTCTAAATTTCATATTTTATCACATCTGCACTACGCACATGGTTACGTCACTCTCACGTGATGGCCAGCATGTCTCGATTTCGGTCGGGGTGTGTCATCCATGCCTACTAATGTGCTTGTGTCCAATTTTTTTTATATTGGGCACAATACACGGTGCTCATCATTGAATGAGCACTGTTCTACCCTAGATAGGCACAAACTTCTCATTAGTGTCCTTAATTTTGTATGTAAAGCCCATTTTTCTTGCAATGTTTACTGTAACAATGGCGTCAGAATCAAATTACAACATTCCAGGGGAAATTCCTGCACTGCGTCATTGTATACATTTGACAATGGACCTAAGAGAAGAAGCAGTGAAAAAGCAAAGAGTGGTAAATCAGAAAATAACAAGGAAGCGAGCTCCTTGTTAGCCAAGGAAAAGAAGAGCAGCTCTAATAAACAACGACCCACAACTACGAAATGAACGTATGAATCTTTTAGCAAGGAAGAAAATGACATCAAAACCCTTGAGTTTATTTTTAGATACAATAAAATTGTACGACATGTTTTAGATCTTGATGCATTGACATGTTGAAGTATTATAAACTTCGACAGATTTTTTTTTTTGATTTTTTTTATTTGCAAATTCTCTTTGCCAAGTCTTTCAACTAGTAAATGTTTAGTTTGAAGTTTTAAGAATGTTTGGTTTAATTTAATAAACAGTTTGCATTTCTTGTGTAATCAGTTCATTTTTATGTTCAAAAGGGTCATTACATAGAGTAGAGCGCTCTCTCTCTCTCTCTCTCTCTCTCTCTCTCTCTCTCTCTCTCTTAAAAAGGTCTGGATTAGTTCAAATGTTGCAACATCTACTGTAATCGGTCTGCTAGTTCACAGAAATCCAAAGAAGTTATCACTGACGATCTACAACCAAACCAATGCAAATTCTTCAGGTTTTTGTTTTCTGTTTTTTTATAGTAAACCGGACGAACCATGCCCACCCATATAACTCACTGACAGGCTCATGACTTTGCATGATAACTTTTACTGATGTTCACTAGGTGAACGGACCAAACCGTCATTCTCTAAAGAAAAACGAAAACTAATATGCATATGCATCCTTCGAATGTACTTGCTTTTATCATAAGTGACACGTCCTTGTTGCTGCTGTTAATATTCCTTCCTTGCTGCTGCTGTTCTCTTCATTCTCATTTCCCTTCTTTGACTCCACTCTTCTTCCAATTTTACCCCAAACTTCTGGGGAAACAAATCCTATAATCTGCCATTTATTGTTTTAGTCAGTTAAATGGTCGAAGGTTTTTTACAAATTAAGCGATTAAGAGCATTTTTCTGCATTTGAACCGTGTATCAAAAAGGAAAGATATAGGTTTGCTTAGTGTTGTACAAATGCAATTTGTTCTGCTAAAGAAAGATGAACGCAAATTTGTGCCGGAGAGCAATTATTTATGCAGTTACTTCTAGTGCAGAATAAATAATTCACAATTTCTGATATCTTTATTGGCTTTGAACTATTCTAATTTGAAATGACGTATGGAATTAATAGACATGAATTATGGAACACGCAGAATTTCCATTTCATGACAAAACCCATTTCTGAAAGCGAAGACACTGCGAACAAAAAAAGAGAAAACAATGGAAACGAAGAGCTTGGAGGCGCACCGTTTTGGGAGGCTACCAAGACGCTTTCTTAACGCCATTGACCATGCCTTTTGGAGGCAAGAGAACGGAAAACGATACGGGACATACGGAAGGTCTCGTAGACGGCGCGTGCGCGGCCGGAGAAGATGCAGCGGTTCCTGAAGCGCGTGAAGGAGCTGTTCCGGGGCAGCTTGGAGAGCTTGAAGCGGTTCTCCTCGCGCAGATCGCTTGGAAGGCTTGGGTCCTTGCAGAGGGCCTTGTACAGGTTCCGTCTCAGCTCGTATTTCGCCGCACTGACACTGACATCACTTTTTTGGGTCGAATACTTACCCGCACTCTCTCTGATTTTGGTTGATGGCGGGTCCTAGGGTTTTAAGCTTTGGAGACCCTTCTTACCGGGTCGGATTTTGACGACTGGCTTTTTCTGAAACGAATAGTAGCAGCCCGGGTAAAAATATTGGAGAAATGCTAGCAGCACTCGCCTAAAAAGCGAGTTCGCAAGACTCTCCCTCCAGCACCTCCACGTGTATTTCCACTTCATCGGTTAAGCTTTATATTAGTTCCATAATTTTTTTTGGGTAAAGTACAAAAAACTACCTCAACTATTAGTGTCATGACACTTTCATACCTCATCTTTTAAAATTGACAATGTCATACCTCATCTTACGAATTTGTGCCAATGTTATACCTTCCGTTAACTTGGCGTGAATTTCTCAGTTAAATGTTGACGTGGCTTGATTCAAGACCCACTTTCTATTAAAAGAATTAATAAAATACTATTAAAAACTAAAAAAAAAATCATTTAATATTTTTTAAATATTAAAATAATAAAGAAAAGTTAAAAAAAATAATAATAAAAACAAAAAACAAAACAAAACAACCCTCTCCCTCCCTCTATCCTTCCCCATGCTGCAAGCCTGGAACCTAGAAAACAATAGAAGAAAAAGAAAAAAAAAAAAAAAAAAAACTTCATCCCTTCCCAACCCACCCACCCCCCCCCCCCCCCCCCGCGCGGGGGGCGTCCTTCTTTCTTCTCCCCCATCCCTCCCCCCTCTGCTGCAAGCTTGCAACCCAAAAAACAAAAGAAGAAAAAGAAAAGGAAAAAAAAAAAAAAAAAAAACCCCATCCCTTCCCACCCTCCCCACAACCCCCACCCCCGGGGGGGCGCCGCGGAGTCCTTCTTTCTTCTTCCCCACCCGAGCCCCTACCTGCAACCCAGAAAAAAAAAAAAAAAAAAATCCCAGTTCGTCTTCCCTCGCATCCACCCTCGGCACCCACCCTTACACCCACCCCTCGAGGAATCGGCGAACGGGATCTGGTTTTTTTTTTTTTTTTTTTTTTCTTCTTCTTCTTCTTCTTCTTCTTCCTCCTCCTTCTTTTTCTTTCTGGGTTGGCAGGGGGTTGGATTTGTTTTGGGGGGGACGAACTGGGTTTGGTTTTTTGTTGGGGGGGGGGGGGAGGGACGAACTGGGTTGGGGTTTTTTTATTTCTTCTTCTTCTTCTTCTCCTCCTTCCTTCCTTCCTTCTTCTTCTTCTTCCTCCTTCTCCTTATTCTTCTTCTTTTTCTTCTTTTTCTTCTTCAGGGGGTTAGGGGTTGATGGGTTTTCAATTTTTTTTTTTTTGGTTGAATCATGAAGGGAAGAAGAAGACGGGGAGAGAGAGAAGGGGGGAAGGGGGTGGATGGGACAAAAGGTTTTGATTTTTTTGATTTTTTTTGTTTTCAACTTTTCCTTATTATTTTAATATTTAAAAATATTAAATGATTTTTTTAAATATTTTAAATATTTTTTAATAGAAAGTGGGGTCTGGATCAAGCCACGTCAGCATTTAACTGACAAATTAACGGCAGGCTAACGAAAGGTATAACATTTGCACAAATTCGTAAGATGAGGTATGACATTGTCAATTTTAAAAGATGAGGTATGAAAGTGTTATGACACCAATAGTTGAGGTAGTTTTTTATACTTTACCCTGTTTTTTTTTCTTCTTAAAAACAATGTCATTTACCTTAACAGGTAAGAAATGGGCTAAATTTCACAATGAGTTAATAATAATATGATTCAAATTAGTTTTTAGTGAAAATCGAACATAAAACCTTTCACTTCCAACTGAAGAGAAATATCACTAGACCGTATACTAAATTACATATTGATTTCACAATTAAATAACAACTAAAAATAATATCCCTCTCTCTCTTACTCTTAGACCAGGAAACTGGTATCCGTGGATCATAGGAAAACTGGATTAAACTAAAAAGCAGCTTACGTTTTTAGACCAGGATCTAATTGCCTAAAAAATAACGTACAATTTAAAATGAATAGACGTTTCCCACTCGTAATTGCACCGCTTTTATTAGAAAAGTTCCACGCATGTCTTGCTGTGCAAAACTCCAAGCTTTCCATCAGCAATGCCAGTCAATTCTGCATGCACGTAATAGAGTATGAGTTATGCCTTGTATACTCCGTTGAATTAGACTAATGAGAATATGAGATTGTTGAGGTGGTAACCCACAACACCTAGTTTAGGATTTGTTGAACTAAATCCTCTCTAAGTTCAAAGTGGAGTTGTGCTTCACGTGTGGTTGGGAGAAATTAGAAAAACTCTAGTATCCCACAAGCCTTTAGCTTCACACCGAAAGTGCTTTGGATGATATTATGTATTTGGACGTAAGATGTAAAGAGTGTGGAATATAAGTAGGAAATGTGGGTGTATATAGAAAATGTAAAGTGTGTGGGGTGTGAGTGTATTATGGAGAAATATGTGGAGTGTATTAATATAATTTATAATTAAAAAAACAAATGTGGGGTGTATTAAGTATGTGAGCTGTATTCAACAATATGTGTAGTGTTAATATAACAACCATCAAATAATGTGTTACCAATAGAAAATAAGCACATTAATAACACTTAAGTATCAATCCAATCCTCAACAACCATATCATTTGGTTTAAAAATTTGATTTCCATAACATTACCCTATTTTTTAGCAAAAACTTTTTACAAAAACAAAATATAATTATTACCTAACAGTAGGAAAATAAAACTTAAATAATAGTTTGATGAATCTTTTACCATCTTGATGACCACCGATTCACCTAGCTGACAAACTCCACGTTATCTCACCGTTAGAAGACTTTGGGTTCAAACTACCTTGAATATCGACTCCCGGCATTTCTTGTTGATTAAGAAAAGGTTTGGGGGGCAATTTTAGGTTTTCAACATCTCCTCCAAGCATTTGTATGACTTTGTCCATAGAAGGGCGATCATTTGGTTTCATTTGAATACACCAGAAAGCAGTCATAACCATCTTTTTTATCATTATCTTTTCCTCCTCTGTAACATTGCCCATCTCCAAGAGATCATTTCCCCCACTATATTGATCGTAAGCCCATAACGGGAAGTAATCTTGGCTTGAATGCTCTGCGGTTGTACTAAAATTCTTCCTTCTACTTGCCATTTCCATCAACAACATTCCAAAACTATAGACATCAGCTTTGTATGAGACCCCTCCAATATTTTTGTAGAACAACTCTGGAGCAATATATCCGATCGTCCCTCTTGCTGCCGTCAAAGTAACAATGCTATTGTCTATGGGATATAATTTTGCAAGCCCAAAATCGGAGATCTTCGGGTTAAAGTTCTTGTCAAGAAGAATGTTATGAGGCTTGATATCAAAATGTAGAATTTGCATGTCACAACCTTGATGTAGATATTCGATCCCTCGAGCAACTCCAAAAGCAATCTCATACATCTTCTTGCAACTTAAAGGGATACTTCCTTCTTTGGAATAAACGTATTTATCAAGAGAACTATTAGGCATGAAGTCGTATACTAGAGCGCGCTTTGATCCTTCAACACAATAACCAACAAGTTGCACAACATTAACATGGTGAATCCTTCCAATAGTAGCTACCTCACTAGTGAAGTCCTGCCCATTGTTTTTAGGCTTGCCCAAAAGTTTAATTGCCACGAAACGACCGCTGCGTAACTTTCCTTTAAATACAGAACCATAACCGCCTTGGCCCAGCTTGTCCTTGAATTTATTAGTCATTCTCTTAATGTCCAAGTAAGAGTACCTTATTGGCATGAAGTTGTTTTCGGTTTGCAGAAAATCTTCGATGATGCTAAACCCCGACAAATGTCTTCTTCGCCATCTATAGATCAGAAATGCAATCAGAAATGGAACCCCTAAAAGTAGTCTTCCTACTAAATATAAACCTGCACAAGAGATTTATCATCACCAAAAGAGTCCAGATGAAGGAAATTGAAAGAGAGAACAATTGCAAGCTTACCGAGGCAAATGAGTATCGCCCATCCAGGTCCTGCAACAAATTTTGCAACAGTACGAATTGTCAAAAGCTTGAGCATAAGTTATAAAAGTGTCTCAAATGAATAAAATCAAGGACTTGAGATATTATATGCAAGAAATACAAGTTCTTACTGAAGGATATCCCCGGAAACCATAGAGGATTATCTGCAAGAAATGTAAAATACAAAGTTTGAGATGTGCAAGCCCAAATATATGATGGTAAAAAGGAGCAAAAAACAAAGAAAAACTGAGTTTACTGTGACTGCTCTAGCAAAAGATTTGTAGCTTAGTTGGTTAAGCACATTCATCATTTTCCTAGAGATCAAGAGTATGATTTTTCCCTCTCCCAAATATTATTTGTGCAAAAGAAAAGAAAATTGTGACTGTTCCTTGGATTGACAAGTGTCGTTTAAACAAAAAGAAGAAGAAAAGAAACAAGAAATGAAAGAAACTTTTGGAGAGAACGTTCTTACCAACGTATAATCTTCCACGAGCAAAGAAATCTACAGGGATGAAATCATGAAAAGAAAAAAAAAACATTAGTCTACGTTTAAAATCAAGTTTTGACACATACTCACCAAGAAATGGTGTTTGGGGCATTTTACATTTTTTATTGTCCTGATTTTTGTATGATATGTACAGAAAATCCAAAATGGTTGTTTTATTCACACTCCACACATTGTTGAATACACTCCACATACTTAATACACCAAACATTTACTTTTTCAATTAAAACTTATCTTAGTACACCCTACGTACGTTCCTATAATACCCTCAAAACCCCACACTCTCTACATACACCCCACACATCCTACACCCCACTTAGCCACATCCTAGGTACAGCCTCAGTGTCCCATGGAGAAGCATCGCCTTACGATCGATCCTATTTAAGTATACAAAAATTGGTAAAATTGGATAACTAGCCAAAAATTGGTACCCGTCAATCAGAACCCTCACAGATTATCTTCGAATAACATTTATTTTGTGATCAGGTGTTTTATTTGAATGGATGGTTCTTACTGCCTTAGCAATGATAAGTAAGCAGGATTAGTTTTCCATAACTAGTCAAAGAAGTACTGAACTAAACCATTTAGGTTCCATAACCAATCAAAAACTATTTTTGTTGATAAGGAAAATCTGCACTCACCAATATTTGGTTACATAATTTGCATAACGAAGTCGTTGACATCACTAAAACAATGAAAAATATAAGGTCTTACTTTATGTGAAGCTTCCAAAACATTGATTTCAAGTTATGTTCGTCAAAATGATTTTTTTTTTCACCCAATGTGTTTGTACATATATCGGTTAGTTAAAGTTTTGTTCTACAATAGAGGGTAGGAGTGATTTTGAAAGCTCTAAGAGAAAATTAATCTTGTATACATGTACAAGTTAAAAGTGATAGAGGTGTATTTAGAAGTCTTATTTAAAATAAAAAAACTTATGAGGCCTCAATCGTCATCGCATATTAGAGTACATAGTTATTCAATAATGACTTTTAATATGCGGTTTTTTATTGTATTTGGGTAAAAACTTAAAAAAATGTTTTTGACTCATAGAAGCGCAATTCGAAGAAACATCTTTGAGAGGAAGTGCTTCTTAGAAATTGCACTTGGATTTTTAATTAAAATTTGAACATGTTTATAATAAAAAAATACTTTTAGCAGAAGTTCTTCGCAAAGAAATCAGTACCAACGTTATTTTTATATTAAGCCATGTAACCAGTAATTATGTGTTTGGTATTGCTTTCTTTCAAAAGTATTTCTGCTCAACTTGTGCAAAAAAATTTCTGACAAATCCAATTGATTTTTCGAAGATCTTAAAGTGCTTTCTGCAGATGCATTGATAGATTTATCGATGCTTCTCCAACTAGTGCTTATATGAGCGGAAAGAACTTTAATGTTTTCTGTCAAAGGCAATTGGAAGTGATTTTTTCCTTTCAAGAGCAATCCAAATATGCCCATGTTCAAATATAATTAACTATTTCCTATAAGGGTTACCTCTTGTTGTGAACTCAGAAGCTGTAACAGAATAACATTGGATTAAAAAAAAAAAAAAAAGAGGGAGATTAACTTTTGAGACGAACTCCCTTACCGTAAATCGCCTCCCACAGAAATCGAAAGAAACCTACAGGGACAAAGAAGAAGACAACATTAGCAATTCAGCACACAAAGTGGGAAGAGTTTTTCTAAAATTGTACAGGTTGTTTTTTTGTTGCCATTGTGCACTCCCAAGTCCTGTGCTTGTCTGCATTTCTAAATCAAACATTGCCTTTGTGCCTGTTGATCAATATTTGTACGTAGTTCCATTTGTGTGTGTGTGTGTACGTGTGTGTTTAGAGACTAAAATTTAAAACTCATGCATGAAGTTAATGCTTTTGAGCTTCGTTTTCAGTTTTTGTTTTCAATTTTCATTGAAAATTGAAAACTGAAAAAAAGTTAATGGTTATCAAACGTATTAACAATCTAGATATAGTAAAAAGGTTGGAACTAATAACAACTCAAACTTTCGGATTGGTCTTTATATTCTATGAGAATTCACGCACCTGGGATGCTGTGTGGAAAACATTTATGATTACTACTCCATTGGCCTTGGCAGATTGGACCCAGTTCATCAACCCCATATACTCGAAGCTCAAATCCATACATGAGCGCCTTGTGTACGTTTTCATAAGAGGTGTTGTAGTCCCTGACGTAGCTCGAGAGCGCCCAAGTCATCCACTCTGCACTGCAACCCTCATCCAAATCCCCTACTTCCATCAAACCGACCTTGACGTAGCTATACGTTTTTGGTTGGCTCGAAGAAGAAGCACTTGCATCGAAGCATGGAGCAGTGTCCACATACAGAGAAGAATTCATTGGATTCGAACACTTCAAGTAAAATATAACTGTTGAAAGCGGTGAATCCATTGGATATTTACCATAAAAATCATATGGTAAATTCAATGTGTAAGACTCAAGTGGAAAGTTTCTCGACATGGAGGAGCAATTGTTGTTCTGAAGGCCAGGATCTATGATGCGGATTGTGTAGTTATCATAGTTGATTGCCTGGACATAGTATTTTCCGGAAGGCGGTAGGTCTACTACTGTGGTGTCGTTCTCACAGGACAGCGTATACATAACATGGCCGCAGTGCTTTGGACTATCTTTTAGTCGAAAAGGGTAGCTTATGTTGTGAATATTGCCGCAGGAGAAGGTACAGTTTGTACTGTCATCCTTTGCGCTACAAGTTTCACCGGATAAGCCAACGACAAGAAAAGCCCTAATCAAGAGCCAAGCAGACCAAGTGAAGGACCAGCTTCCCCTTATTCCCATGGAGAGAGAAAGAAAGAGATGAGAGAGAGAGAGGGGGTTTGATAATCAAACTAGCTTTCCCACATATGTGATGGTAATTGGATAAGATGTCAGAGCACCTTATCCAATTAAATGACATCTAAAAAATATCCAAAATAGAAGTCATGCGTTTACCAATTAAGCAGTAAAAGTCGTCTAATTAGGTAAGCGATGACGACTAGAGAGTCAGCCTGGTTTATTTGACTTAATTGTCGAGTGTGATTTTCTTTCAACACAACACGTAACCACTGTCAAGGCTCCAATCTTACGCACGAGTTCATGTTTATCGGCCCAATAAACATCCCTCAATACTAGCTCCGCTTAGGGAAAAAAAATCTCTATAGGCATTGTTAGCTCAAAGATGCAGCAATTGATCATCTCTTCCTTTTGCGTATTATTGTTATTGGCCTTCATCGAAGGGGTCGGGGGAAGCCAATATGCGTGCACAGAGTCCAAGTGCGGCGATGATCATGGCCTGGCTATCCATTTCCCCTTCCGCCGCGGGCATCATTCCGGGGATAATAAGATTGAAAGCAATGGCGGATATGAGGCGGTTCCTGACCACCCAATGGTACTAGTAAAATTCCTTGTCAAACACATAGATTACAAGCATCAGGAAATCCAAGTATATCACCCAGATAACTGCCTGCTGTTGAAGCCTTTGGAAATCACCAACACGGTAATCTCTCCCTTCTACTTCCGAGGTAGCTTACGTAATGTTACCTTATTCCGTTGCCCTACTCTTGTTGAAAGAGATATATATGCCTATCAAGTCCCCTGCCTTGGTGGCCATGGATACAGAGTTTATGGCGTCTCTTCTTTCTTTAGATTATTTGAAAAATTCACAGCCCTACAGTCTTGTACAAGGATGTATGATGTTTTATCAGTTCCATTTGGCGATTGGGTGGAAAATGGCAATTTTCTTCAATTCAAATGGTCCCAACCGAATTGTACAGACTGTGAAGCAGAGGGCAAGAGGTGTAGATTGAAGATCAATGGCACCAAGAGCGAAATTGAATGTGTTCACCATAGGAAACCAAGTAAGGAAAACATGTAAATCTATATTTCGCATACATTCTGCTCATGATTTTTTTTCAAAGATTATGATCGATATGCTCTGCTACCAGCCGTGATTTTTCTCCTTTCATGTAATTAGTGGCTTATATATGTGGTGATGATATTAATCAATTTCGATAACTGACAGTCTAATTTTCACAACTATCTTTTGCAGGCAAAACAAAGACGTTTGTGGCCACAGGTGAGTTGTGTAAGAGTGGTGTTTAGCTTTGTTTCATGTCCAAAGGACGCTCGAGAATAAATGTTTACTCATGGGTTGAATCTATCTATTTGCAGGAGCAACCCTGGGTTCATTTGTTCTGTTACTAGGGTTCTTTGTAGCGTATCGCGTCTATAGTGCTGATCAAAAGGAAAAAGAGAATCGATTAAAACTTGAAACATTTTTAGCAGACTACAAAGCTCTCAAGCCAAGCAGATATTCATATGCAGATATTAAAAGGATTACAAATCAATTCAAGTGCAAATTAGGCGAAGGAGCCTACGGAACTGTTTTTAAAGGAAAACTTTCTTCTGAATGCTTTGTTGCTGTGAAGGTACTTAACAATTCTAAGGCCGATGGGAAAGAGTTTGTAAATGAAGTGGGAGCAATGGGTCATATTCACCACGTCAATGTGGTTCGCTTGGTTGGTTTTTGTGCGGATGGATTTAGACGAGCTCTGGTTTATGAGTTCTTTCCCAATGGTTCGCTCCAGGATTATATTTCATCAGTAGATAGAAAGAACTCTTTCCTTGGTTGGGACAAGTTGCAAGACATTGCTATCGGCATAGCCAAAGGAATGGAATATCTTCATCTGGGATGCGATCTACGAATCCTCCATTTCGATATCAAACCCCACAATATTTTGCTAGACCAAAACTTCACACCAAAAATCTCTGATTTTGGTCTGGCCAAATTATGTTCCAAGGATCAAAGCATAGTGTCAATGACTACAGCGAGAGGGACCATGGGCTACATTGCACCCGAAGTGTTTTCCAGGAATTTTGGAAATGTGTCTTACAAGGCAGATGTTTATAGTTTTGGAATGCTGCTGCTTGAGATGATAGGAGGAAAGAAGAATATTGGTTCAACCACAGAGGACACGACCAATGCAATTTACTATCCAGAATGGATTTATAACCTTCTAGAGGAAGGAGATGACCTACGAATCCATATCGAGGAAGAAGGGGATGGTAAGATTCCAAAGCAACTTGCAATTGTAGGGCTCTGGTGCATCCAGTGGCACCCAGTGGATCGTCCTTCCATGAAAACGGTTGTTCAGATGCTAGAACGAGGAGAAAACTTGACGATGCCTCCTAATCCTTTTGTTTCTGCAGGTCCTACACAAACATCACAGGCAGGCATCCCCAAAAGGCGCCGCCTAGAGTTGGAAGCAATTGTTGAATTAGAGTAACATGTAGATGTATACCACCAACCAGTAGTTCATAGATGAATTCAAGCACAAACATTTGTTAGTGTATAAGCCATGAGCTGATTACATTAGTAATAATGTCTTGTATTTAATTATTATAACATTATTGCACTTTCTTAACAATTTGATATTCACCTAGTTGACGATGAACATGTTAGCTCGATGTTAGAACACATTGGGTTCGATTTATTTTCTTGAATATCACCCACAGTCACAGACGCCTCTTGTGGGCAGAAAGAAGGCTTGAGAAGTAATTGCAGACATTCAACATCTCTTCCAAGCATTTCGATGATTTTGTACATCGAAGGGCGATCACTTGGTTTGATTTGAATACACCACAATGTGGTTATAATTAACCATCTTTCTCTTCCTCCTCTGTAACTCATTTTCAGACACCAATCGTTAGATTTCACTTCATATTTATACGACTTTAGGCCTTAACGACTATACATTGCATTGCCATTGTTGAAAAGGTCTACTGGCTTTATCTATTTTACGGTAACATGTTTTGTGAGGTTGAATTCTGTAACACTATTTACAGTAACATGTTTTATCTATTTTACGGTAGCATGTCATCCCCACCCAAGTTTTTCTCTTCGCATTTAGTATGGAATACCAAAACTTGCCTAACAAAGCCAATTAATTCATAAGCAAAACTAATTATTCGGCCGAACTTTACTTCGAATGCTAGTCAGATGAAACAATATGAATCATAAACTAAACACAATAGTTTGGGATGTAGTTGGACGTGCATGGGTGCTTGGTGAATCAAGAAACTTCATGGATCTAGGATACCCATCGGTCAACACGCATATAATATAAGTTTGGAATGAAGATTGTCGTATCAGTTGGCTATACCAAAAGAGTTATTGGCATCTGGAGGATTATTCTTTCATAGAAATTTCCAAAGATGAGAAAGTTAAACTAATCAAATTTTAACAAGTTTGAAAAATCAACTATTTATATATAAGAGGATCCTGATTGATGTGTTACGTTGATTTGAAGATCGGTCTTGAAGTTATGGAGTGATTCATTCATTTAAAATCAACTATTTATATATAAGAAGATCTTGATTAATGTGTTACGTTGATTTGAAGAACGGTCTTGAAGTTATGGAGTAAGATATTCATTTAAAATTAGCAAAAGAATGTAACAATTAGAAAAAGGGTTGTCTAAATGGTGGGGTACTTTTACTTTTAAAGTCTTTAAGGAACAATAATGGCAGGTTCTAAGTTGGAATAATGCAATTTTCACGCAATTAGGACAAGAAAAGAAGTCTTACTTTGTAAGCGATAAAGATTCTTGTGTATGACTTACGACATCCCACACTTTTTCTACAAGAGTGGGCCTTGGTGATACAAAATTACAAGGAGGATTTGCGTGTGTAGCTGATCTAGAGGTCATACACTAGATTAAGATTTTCTCCGTTACGTAACTCCATGAGTCCCATAAATTCATAATGGTTTGAACCAGTTCAACGACACTTCAACGTCTAACTAATGTTGTAAGAGGTCTACGACATCCAAATATCACCAGTTTGAGATAAAACACAGATGAAAGAAATTTTTCATATTTTATTTTACTTTTTTACTAGTACGACGAAATGTATGTCAAAACAAATCAAACTATTCTATTTTTGTAAAAATACCCAAATATGAATGAAATCGATTACAATCGAAGACTCATATATAACCAAAACATTGCTTTTATACTAAAATGTATGTGTTGATTGAAATGACTTTTTGGCTACATATGATATTTTTTTATAAAAACTGATATTTTTAAAATTACGGGTCAATTTTTTGCTATATTTGATAAATACTTGCGTACATGTGCCATGAACGTCTTTCTCATATGTTGAGAGTTACCGGATATGCTGGAATCAATTAGGAAACGTTTAATTAGGAAGATATAGAGGTCCCATAATTAATTCTGAAGTATTGAGCAGCTCCATGTGCAGGAGGTGGAATTTGCCCATGTGTCCCGTCATTGCAACGGAGTAGCCTTAACATCCTGGACAACATCACAAGGGTACTCATTGAAAATATGTACTTTGAGACGAGGACTCTCCAAATATCGTTCAAGATGTTTTTCTACAAGATCTTAAGTATATTCCTTCTAAGTTCCTATTATCATTTCCACTTGATAAAAAAATAAAAATTTCTTAAATGAACTGATGAAGGTACTCAACAGAAGAAAATTGAAGCAATAATCCCCGAACTCAAAACTCATGAGTATTGATTTCTAAACTTACTATAATGTGGAACAATAATCATTTTAGCAGTCCCTCTAAACCCTTTATTTTGAATGGAAGTTCTAACATAGTTAGCAAAAAGAATCATTGCTTCACGTCACCTCACGGATTGTTAGTTTAGGAACTAAAGCTCTGATTAAGCTAAAGTTCAGGGACCATTGCTTCAGTTACCTCACTGAACAAAATCATCCCAAAAATTCAAAACTTTATTCAGAAACCACAATAAAAATTTGATTAGGAGTTCAATACCAAGACAAACAATTCATCTATAAAGTTTAAGGGAAGTGATTTTCACACACAATTTTTCTTCCGTTGCACAACTATGTTTATTTCTAACCGTAGAATCAATGGATATAAATAAACCGACTCCGCAGAAGGACACGAGAGTATGAAAATCATTTCCCAAGTTTAATCATTTTACAGAAACCCACTCCCACCCAAACACAGGACATGTATATCACTACATCTAATACAACCATAGCACCAGTAACACATCAAATTCATAAGGATCAACTACGTTTAGTCAAAACTATCCAAAACTTAGCGGGCTTAAAACGTTTTATTACATACCGAACAATTAGGCAATTCGTCAATATTAATTCCGGCAGAAAATAAGCAAATCAACCAAAAGAAAACAAACCAATCACTAAGAAACAGTATGCGATGCAAGCTGAATTTTGAATGAGATCCTATTTCCGTTACCCGCAGCATAACATGTATAAGTTTCATCATAAATGTGGAACTTTATGAACCAAAGTAAGCCACGAACACGATACGAGCAGAAAATGACACTCTCAACAGACTCAATGGAACTGAGTAAAAACAATCACATAAAAGACAGGAAGATCATTGAAAATCCAAGTCATCCCATTAATGTTTAAGAAAAGATGCCACAAAGAACACCGATACTCAACGCAGAGCGATTCTCACAGAAGTTATATACACTGTTATTATTCATGTTTACTTCCAAAGGAAAAGCTTTTCAAGTACTGCCAAAGTGCCCATCACCATTTCAGCTTTTAATGTGTCCCATCAGCCTTCTGCAAAAGAGAAACGACCGTGTATGTGGAATTGAAATAATGAATGAAATCCAGTCATACTATAGGAAGAATGTCTTAGAAGTAATAACTGACTAAAATTAGAACAAACCAGTCAAAACTCATCACTGCCACAAGTATCTGGTTGAAGTGTCTCTATTTTAAAAAACAAATGCATTCTACTATAGCGTTTGCGGTTAAAATTTCGTGATAGATGCAACAACAAAATATTCTACCACATCAAGTGAAAAGGACATGTGGTATAATTTGTTAGTATTCAAGCAGAATCGCTAGGCCATCAAACAGGCCACATAGGTTTACGCAAAGGGCTGTCTCCCAAGGATACTCTACACTTTGTAAGAAAACAAATGATCTAGTTTTCAAAAAAATGCAGACTTTTCACCATAAACCTATGTTCCGTTTTTACCCTTGAGGTCATCTGTAAGACTAAGATAGAACCCAAGAGCCAACAATTCTCTCTCATTCATCTCGAATAAGCAACAAATTTGAAGTTATAGAAAGCGCTTGTTGAAGGAGCTGCAATCTATCTTTCTTTTTATTATTCTTTTTTTTGATGATTGAACCCATTCATAAATCAGCAACTAGATGCAGAGAAACATGTAGCTTCCCCTAATGGACGCCATGTACCTCAATAATGACATTTTAAGAGCAGATTGCAGGAAACCTCGATGATAAGTATAGACGTTCTCACCAGCAAGCCTAAGTCTCAAAGTTGGTTCAGAAAAAAAGAAAACTGTGATGTGAAGGCTAATTAAGCATGTGAAATGTAGGCCATGGTCATCCATGCCAACGGGCCAAGGAGACCAAAGACAACATTGAAAAGCTTGATAAGCTAGTCAGTCTATTCTAGACAACCAGGTGATACTATTCAATTAAACCTCAAGCCAGCATAAATTAATACCACTCCTCCAATCCCAACCTCATCATTTTGATCACTCAGACGGAGTTCTCTCTTATTATGCATTTACTCAATACCGTGTCCTTTCCTCCAGTAATTTCTGAGTACATCATATTATAACGCTAACTCGAGTGATCAAACATGGCGAAGCTACGCCTCACCTTCAGCAATTGAACACATTCCAAATGTCAATTTTATATGTGTGTGTGTGTGTGTTCTTGCTTACTAAAATGCACAATTCACTACGACATACAGCAACAACAGTTTTCTACTATCTCGTAATTACGCAGACACCACAAGAAATCACAGGTCTCTGTAAATTTGTGCCAGTCTCATTCGGCACAGTGTAAAATCCACACACAGACACAGAAACACACATATCCTCAATAAAGAATTAATCCGCACCTTATCAGCATTTTCTTTCGCTTTCTCGGCCTTTTCCTTCTCAGCCTTCTGCTTCTCCAATCTCTCCCTCTCCTTTCTCTTCACAAATTATTACCAAAAAATAAAAAAACAGAACAAGTTGATTCGATTACAGAAATTCAATAAATTCAAAATATAATTTTTTGATCGGACAAAACATAATAATAACCTAAACACAGATTCAAATCTGATTGAAAAATTAGTATTATAAAACAAAGTTTAGAAAGAAAAAAAAAAATTAAAAGAGAGTGAGAGAGAGCTTGGGGTTGCGTACTTGGATGTAGACATTCTCAGCGGCGCGCTCCTCCTCGCTGAGGATTTTGCCTTTGCCTGAGCTCAAGTAGCGAGTGGCTCCCCGAGACGACTCCATGGAGCGAGTGATCAACGCTCGAGTTAGCACCGCCAGGCTCTGACCGGATCTCATTGCCCCCATCGCTTTTCGCTTTCTAGTTTGCTCGTTTGTCTGTTTCTACTGCTAATAGTAAATTAGTACCAGAGCAACTTATAATTATATAGGGTGCAGCCATATGGTTTAAAAAAATAATACAAATATGTGAAGCTTGATCTTATCGGTTAAGTGATCTTATCCGTTTAAGTGGATGGATCCATTATCAATGTTGAACAAATTATTAAAAGACAAGGATCAGCCGCCAATATCCGCAATTGGCATGAATTGAACAATCTGTGTAATTAAATTCAAAATTTCTCATTTACAAGTGAAAAAAAAAAACTATTTTGGTTGTTTAATAAAATGTTGGAGCTGTGTTAGTTGTTTTTCCTGGGTCTTTTGACCCCCAATTTAACCCAAAAAAAAGTGTTGGAGCTGCTACCCTCAACCAATAACAATTTGACAAGTGTTAAAAAAATTGAAAAATTAAAGCTTGAAAAAACAACTAAAATATTGGTCAAGTTGTTATGAGGTGAGAGTAGGAACTCTTGCATTTTTTTTTTAAGCAGCCAAGCTTTGTGGAAAGAAAAATACCATTAAACTGTAGTACGGCGTAAAATAAACAATTGACCTCAAATACAATCAAACCCTTCATAAATTAAATAGTGTTTAGAACAAGAAAAATCTATTAATTTAGTGCATATTAAATAATCGATTAATTAATAGTTTTTTTTTTGTCAATAATTAATAGCTTATTAATTTATTAATGTATTCTTTATTGTCTTAGATGGAAAGGGATCCTCGGATCCCTTCCACCAAATTCACATAATCCACAAATTTGGAACCTTGAAATTTGGAAGAGGATCCTCTCCTGAGCTCAGGATGAGGATCCTCCTGACCACGAAATCCAGACCGTTCAATTTTAATCCAACGGCTCTAAGCAGGGGGTCCCCTAAAAAGTTATCATAATTGCAACTGTTGGAATAAAATTGAACGGCCCGGATTTCGTGGTCAGGAGGATCCCCATCCTATACTTAGGAGAGGATCCTCTTCCTTGAAATTTGTTCCAACGGCTATAAACAAAAAGCCCCTTTAAAAGTTATAATAACTTTAGTCGTTTGATCAAATTCCAAAGGTCCGAATTTATGGATTTTGTGGAAATTAACACGTTGTTACTTAACGGTTAACTTAACAGATTTTTTAATGGATGTATGAAACTGAAAAGAAAATATAACTAAATGTATGAAATTAAAATGTTTTAAAGATGTTGTTTGAGGTTGTAATTGACCCCATACTTGAGGGGGTAAAATGTAATTCACCCACAATTTTATGTATTTGTTTAAATGTGGAAATTTTATGAACTTATTTATTTTTGAGTGTGGTATCCACACACTTTTTTTTTTTTTTTTACTTCTCATATACTTCTTATTAATTTTTGTCCTTTGATTATTTTTAATTCAATTGATCCGACATCCGCAAATTAAGAAAATGTGTAAGAAGTAAAAAAGTGTGTATGGATAGCACATCCCACTTATTTTTTGCTAAAACTAGATTGTAAATTATTCAATGTAGTACATTATTCTATTTTATAAACATTTAACCAAGCCTAAGCTCTATTTAAATAAACAAAGACTATAGTAACAAGAAATTATTAATTTATATATTACGTGAGACTTATATGACTATCTAAAATTATTATTTAACCGAGATTATTAATTTGTGGAAGTTCTACTGTAGTTGGTTTATGGATGTTAGGTTATCAAACTTAAAATTAACGTGAACGGAAACTGAATGTAGGTGGTATGTATTGTCAAATGTTTTATGCATGGGTAGTTAATGTAATTCTATTAGTTTGGACAATATATGCATAAAGGGTGAACTCTCAATTTTAATATTTTAAAAATCGTTAGGCAATTGTCGGGCAGTAAGGAGAGGCCTAACGCCTAGTGCCTCGAGATCTAGTCGAGGCCTAAGTGGTGTTTTTAATATTAATTAAGTACATGTGTAAATATTAGAGTGTTTTATATTAGTTTATAACATTTTATGAGTTAGTACCATTGTTCGGCCTTGTTTTCACATTTTAAAAAAGTTGGCTGTGGTTTTGTTTTTCCTGTGTACCATCATGTGCTCGACAGCTCGAGGTTTTTGTTGTATGATTACGTAAGTGCATTGGAAGTATGTTAGACTGCCTCACTCGAAAGTTTGAAACCAATGGCTGGCTATATGCGTCAACTATGCAAAAATATTTACTCAAAGTGTTTACAAGATAATTTATAACTAGCTTCGTTACGATCCTTGAATAAATAAGAAATGAAGTAATTGAATTTATAAATATAAAATTTTGAGATTATTGTCAAAGCGATGTTTTCAAGTGGCACTCAAGGAATAAACAAACAAACCAAAAAAAAAAAAAAAAAAACACACACACACACACACAAAGGATTTAACCTTGTTGATTTTAGTGAATAAACCTCATTTTTGTTGATTTTAGTGAATAAACCTCATTTTTGTTGATTTTAGTGAATAAACCTCATTTTTGTTGAGAGTGACCTTGCAAGTTGGTTGAGTTGGAATGATAAATTTTTATTTCTAGAAAGAAACAAATAATAAAATAATAAAAAAACCAACAACAACAACATTTGTTTCTTCCAAAAAAAAAAGGCAATAATTCACCTTGATATCATGGGTTAAATTACGAATTAGCTACCGATTTAGTGACAAGGCAAATAATAGAGCCACTTACCTAAAAGCATCTTTAAACGACTAGGCAAATGCCTAAGCAATTAAATTTGATGAGTCACATAAGCAAACTTGGCTCTAAGAGACTAGGCAACTGCCTTATGGAAAGTTTAGGCAAATCGGACTCCACCACCTTTTTATTTAAATAAAGAACACAACACATGCATATTTTCCAGTCATTTTCTTAAGAGGGGTGCTATCCACGTACTTCTATTAACTTTTATATTATCTCTCCTACATCCCTATAAAATTTGTCATTTGATCATTTTCAATTTATTTGATCTGACCGCCAAAAATTGAGAAGAATTTGTGGAAGGCAAAAATTGGTGTGTGGATAGCACCACCCTTCCCTAATCAATTGCCTTATCCCTTGAAGTCACATATAAGGCAAATATTGAAGACAAACAGTTGCTTAACCCATCAAGGTGCACATTTGCCTCAATATTTTGGGTGGACCTGGTGAGCAAATTTGTCGTATAATCTAGTTATAGCTCGTTATGTCTACAACATTAGTCAAAATTTTGACAAATACATATATATCAACTGGAAATACATCTGTTCTCATTACTTTCAACACATTAAAGCAAGAAGACGGCAAAACTATAACAAGTTAACTAAATATTTGGTAAACAAGATAAAATAGGACAACATATAATCATTTTCGCAGTTTTATACATGATACTTGCAATCATCAAATCTTATCATTTGAAGCAAATGGAAAGAGCCTGTGCTAGGTGTGCATCACCTTCCCGACAACGTCCATGTTAGCTTCGTGTTAGAGCACGTCAGATTCGGATTATTCTGAGGATCTCCTATCGGTATCTCTTGTGGAAACAGAAAAGGCTTTGGAGGCATTTGCAGGCAGTCAGCATCTCCTTCAAGCATCTCTATGACTTTGTTCATTGAAGGACGATCACCTGGTTTCATTTGTATACACCATAAGGCCGTTATAACCATCTTTTTTACTATCTTCTTTTCCTCTTCAGTGGCATCGCCCATCTCCAAATCTTGTCCTTCATCATATCGATCGTACACCCATGTTGGCAAGTAAGTTGGCTCGAATGCTCTGCCAATGCGTTCAAATTCTTCCTTCTGCTTGCCATTTCCATTAGCAACATTCTGAAACTATAGACATCAGCCTTGTACGAGACACCTCCAATATTTTTGTAGAACAACTCAGAAGCCATATATCCCACTGTTCCTCTTGCACCCAATAAGACAATGCTATCATCTGTTGGATATAATTTTGCGAGGCCAAAATCAGAAATCTTTGGGTTGAAATACTCATCAAGAAGAATATTGTGAGGCTTGATATCAAAATGCAGAATTTGCACGTCGCAACCTTGACGTAGATATTCAATCCCTCGAACTACTCCAAGAGAAATCTGATACATTTTCTCTTAACTTAAATGCGTAGTTCCTTCTTTCAAATAAACATATTTATCAAGAGAACCGTTCAGCATGAAGTCATAGACCAGACAACGGTTTGATCCCTCAACACAATAACCAACAAGTTGCACCACGTTTTTAAGAAGAAAACGTAAATCATATTACATACCAAATTCATGATATTTTCCATCGACGAAGAAGACTAAATAGCTTACCCATGCTGAAGACTATTCCCCATCGACATCCTGCAAGAAATATGATCAAAGCGAAAAAAATCAAAACGCATGCTTCCGTATCTTACTCCCCCACTACTTCTTGCGTTAACATTTTCATAATTAACACGTTCAGAAAGTTCATCATATGATACTATATATTCTTTATAGCAAAATTGAAGGTTAAAAAAAAAAAAGAGAATACATTTATAACTCTAAATAATTTACAAACCTGTGAAGCGGCACGGATCTATTAGAGAGCCAAGAGAATACTGAAGCTCAAAGCCATACACCAGAGCATTGTGTATGTAACAGTAAGAAGTAGCGTTTCGGTGATTTTCAGTCCAGGAAGCCATGGCCGTCCACCCTATTACTGCACCCCTCCTCCAAATCTGACGCAATTGTTAGGCCCACCGCGACATAACTATACGTTTTTAGTTGGGACAAAGAAGTAGTACTACCACTGCTTCTAGTAATATTCGTGCATGGAGCTGCATCCACGTACAGCGATGAGTTCACTGGTCTAGCACAGTTGAAGCAAGTTATAGCTCTTGAAATCCATACTCTATCACCATGGCCATCATAGTTATAGACAATATACGGAGATTCAAAACGTAATGAATCGGATGATAAAGAATGGAGAGGAATGGAGGAGCAATTCTTGTGATCAAAACCAGGATCTACAACTCGGATTGTGTTGTTGTCGTAGTTGATTGACTTTACGTAGTATCTTCCCGAGTTAAGGCGTAACACTGTCACGTTGTCCTCGCAAAACAGATTATGCATTGAGTGACCGCAATTCTTCGGGTCATCGCTGAGTCGAAAAGGGTAGCTTATGTTCTGGATATTGCCACAGGAACAAGGCGGACATGATGACGCTACAGCGTTAGAAGTTTCGCCCAATAAGCCAATTGCAAGAAACGCCACAACAACAAACCGAGCAGACAAGCCCTTCCACTTTCCATGAAGAGAGAGCAAGCTATGGGCTCTCTCTCTCGAATAGGAGAGCTGACCTAGTTGCTCTTATGATCAGATAAGGCCTTCCACGTTGGTTTTGATTAGTTCAAGGGACTCAAGTATGACACTCAGCAATTAACCCACTTATTAGGCAAAAATTCCCACTACTGTTGAAGGACTTACAGGGCTTTTCGACTTTTCCTGCCTGCTCGTGAATGGCCTATGGAAGAAGAACAAAAAGTCAAGACAGCGTTGGTTGGACAAATATTGGGAGGGCGTCATGATAGCTCAGTAATTTTTGGTTAGAGTAAGTGAAGAGAGATATGTTAGGGAAATTAAATTTGGAGACTAAAATTGCAAACTAAATGATGTGTTATCAATAGAAATAAGGACGTCTAATAAATCAATCATCAACTTTCATGTCATTTAGTTTTTAAAGTTTAGTCTTCAAATTAAGTCTCCCTAGCATTACTTAAATGAAAAAGACCAGCACTGAAAAAAGTAGCTAGTATATTTCTCAGAAGTTCATTTAATTATCTAAAAAGAAAGGGTCTTCGCCGTAATCAAAATATTGTTTTTATTTATTATTGTACTTTTATACAAGAACATATCTATATTAAAGGGTCGGGGAACAAATTGGTTTCGAACTCGCTTACAAGCAGAATACCATTAAATTTTGACATATTTCGAACGTTAATTTGTTTGATTTGGACAAAGGGAATAGATGGTTGTTTTAAATCAAATTAGTTCAATGATGATTTATATTGGTAAATGCCATATATATATAGTACCATAACTGAATCAAGGTTAGATTTATACTATCATACGTGAATACCCTTTTTTTTATTCTGCTCAGAAATGAAGGAAATACTCATCTCTTCCTTTTGCATATTGTTAATAGCTTTCTCCAAAGTGCTTGGGAAACTCAGAATGGCTGCAAAGAATTGAAGTGCGGGGATCAAGGCCGGCCTATCCGTTTCCCTTTCATCCTCAAAGATAGACACCCAGATCATTGTGGCTATCCTGGGTTTGTCATGTCATGCAATGAGAAACAAGAGACCGTTCTCGAGCTTCCAATTCCGGCCAACTCCTCTGTCAAAATCATTGATTATAAGTATCAGGAAGTCCATCTATATGATTCAGATAATTGCTTGCTGGTAAAAGTTTCAGAAATCCTCAACTTTTCAATCTCTCCTTTCCACTTCTCAAAAGAGTTTCCGAAGAGCCTTACCTTATTCAACTGTTCTTTAGATCTTGAAAGACAACAGTATGTTTACGTTTTAAATGGCCCCGCCTTATCAGCCCCGGCCATCAAGTTTATGCAGTTAATCCCGACTACGAAATTGATAACCTGCAGTCTTGTACAAAGATGCGTAATGTTTTATCAGTTCCATCTTCGAGTGTTATAAAATGGTCTAAACCAAACTGCACAGAATGTGAAGCAGGGGGAAAGAGGTGTATGCTGAAGAGCAACGGGAACAAAAGCAACATTCAATGTGTTTACTTGACAAAAGCAAGTCAAAACTCATCACCGTCACAAGTATCTGGTTGAAGTAACTATAAGAATGAGTGGGTATTCTTCGGTTTGTTACATTACACAGACTTTGACATTAGGTGATACATAATCAATCCAACAGATACACTATCATCTTCACAAATTGTAAAGGGAGTCAAGGATGAGAAAACATAATCAGACTCGTTCCAAGACTTCATCACTGCAGATTCAATACAAGAATTGAAACAATAGCTTCCCCCAAAACAAGAACTGGAGAACAAGACATCATCAAGGCAGATTTTAGAATGCTCTATATTCATGAAAAATTTAAAGATGTACGAGTGAAAAATGTTCATACATAACAGCTTTATCTCGCATCCAGACATATATTAGAGAACCTCATTACAGCATGGCTCATACATGAAAGTAAGCATAAATGGTGTATGGATACATTTCTATTTTAAAAAACAAATGCATTCCACTAGGGTCTGTCATTATCATCTACTCTAGCATTTGCGGTTAAAATTTCGTGATAGATGTAACAACAAAATATTCCACCGCATCAGGTGAAAAGGAATTGTGGTATAATTTGTCAGTACTCATACAGAATTGCTAGGCTATCAAACCAGCGACATAGGTTAACCCACAGGGGAATGCAAAGGGCAGTCTCCCAAGGATACTCTACACTTTGTAAGAAGACAAATGATCTAGTTTTCAGAAAAATGCAGGGACTTTTTACTATATACCTATGTTCCGTTTTTACCCTTGAGGCCATCTGTAAGACTATCCGAGAACTCAAGAGCCACGAGTTTTCTCTCATTCTTCTAGAACAAACAACCAATTTGAAGTTACCGAAAGCGTTTGTTGAAAGAGCTGCAATCTATCTTTCTTTTTATTATTCTTTTTTTGGTGATTGAACCCATTCATAAATAAGCAACCAGATGCAGAGAAAAATATAGCTTTCCCTAAAGTACGCAATGTACCTCAAGAATGACTTTTTATGATCAGGTTGCAGTAAACCTCGATGATAAGCATAGATGTTCTCACTAGTAAGCCTAAGCCTTGAGGTTGGTTAAGAAAAACAGATTGACAAGCCTGCCATGTGAAGGCTAATTAAGCAGGTAAAATGTAGGCCATGGCCATCCGTGCCAATGGGCCAAGGAGACCAAAAATAAGACAACATCGAAAAGCTTGATAAGCTAGACAGTCTATCCTAGACAACCAGGTGATATTCTTCAATTAAACCTCAAACCGGTGTAAATTTATATCAGTCCTCCAATCTCAACCTCATCATTTTGAACACTCAGGCACAATTCTCTCTTATTATCGTGTCCTTCCTCTGGTAATTTCTGTTTACATTAAATTGGAACGCTAACTCGAGTGATCAAACATCGGAAAACTATGCCCCACTTTCTGCAAATGAACACAATCCATATGTCACTTACATGTGTGTGTTCTTGCTTACTAAAATGCACATTTCACTACAACATACAACAACAAAAGTTATCGACTATCTCGTAATTACGCAGTTACCGCACGAGATCACATATATCTGTAAATTTGCGCCAATCTCATTTGGGGCAGTGCAAAATCCAGACACAGACACACATATCCTCCATAAAGAATTAATCTGTAGATTCTGTACCTGATCAGCATTTTCTTTGGCTTTCTCGGCCTTTTCCTTCTCAGCTTTCTGCTTCTCCAATCTTTCCCTCTCCTTTCTCTTCACAAATAAAAAAAATAAAAATAAAAATAAAAAAGAACAAGTTGATTCAATTAGAAAAATTCACTAAATTCAAAATATCATATTTGATCGGACAAAAAATAATAACATAAACATTGATTCAAATCTGATTGAAAAATTAGTATCATAAAACAAATAAATAAGTAAAAAGAGACTAAGGGAGAGAGCTTGGGGTTGCGTACCTGGATGTAGACATTCTCGGCGGCGCACTCCTACTGGCTGAGGACTTTGCCTTTGCCTCCGCTCAAGTAGCGAGTGGCTCCCCGAGACGACTCCATGGAGCGAGTGATCAACGCTCGAGTTAGCACCGCCAGGCTCTGACCGGATCGCATTGCCGCCATCGCATTTTGCTTTCTAGTTTGTTCGTTTGTTTGTTTCTACTGCTAATAGTAAATTAGTAACAGAGCGACTTATACTTACATAGGGTGCAGCTATACACACACACACACACACACACACACATATATATATATATATATATATATATATATATATATATTTACAGAGGGTGCAGCTATACATAAACACACACACACACACACACACACATATATATATATATATATATATTTACATAGGGTGCAGCTATACATAAACACACACACACACACACATATATATATATATATATATATTTACATAGGGTGCAGCTATACATACACACACACATATATATATATATATATTAGCAAATTAGCACATACTTTCTAAGTGTGAACTATTTTATTTTATTTTTTGTTTTCTTATTAAGGAGTATGATTAGTTTTTAAAATCTTAAAAAAAAGTATGAGACAATGATAATAAGATAATTTCTCTTAATAAAGACATATTTTTTTCTTACTATAGGGTAAAATAGAAAAAATAAGGATATATTTGTCATTTTCTCAAAATATTCATAATTACTATTTTATCCTTCTTATATGAATATAGTGTATCAAAAGTGAAAATAAAATAAAACTATGTTTGTCATTTTGTCCAAAGATTGACAAGGTGAATTTTCTTAATAATAGTATAGATACACACACACAAATATGTGAAGCTCGATCCTATCGGTTTAAGTGAGATGGATCCACTATCAATGTTGAACAAAATTATGAAAAATGGATCGGCCGTCCAAAATCTGCAATGGGCATGAATTGAACAATTTTTTTTATCAATCCAACTTAGGATTTTGTATTTACAAATAAAAAGAAATATTATTAAAAAAAATTAATAGTGTTTAGAACAAAAAAAAAATATCTATTAATTTAGTGCATATTAAATAATTAAATAATTTATACTTTATTAATTTATTAATGTATTCTTTATTGTCTCAGATGTTATACATTGTATTCAAGTTTTCGATTCACGAACCAATAATTTTATTTATTTGTTTATGCGGGTAAAATTCATGAATTTATTTGTTTATAGCTAAAACTAGATTGTACATTATTCCATTTTATGAATATTTAATCAAGCAAAAACATTATTTAAATAACAAAACCTATGGTAACATGAAATTATTAATTTATATATTTCGTAACACTTATATGACCATCCAAAAATATTATTTAACCAAAATTATTAATTTGTCAAAGTTCTACTGTAGTTGGTTTGTGAATGTTAGGTTCTCAAACATAACATTAATGTGAATGGAAATTGAATGTAGGTGGCATATATTGTCGAAATGTTTTATGTATGGGAAGTTTACGTAATTCTATTAGTTTAAATGATAGATGCATAAAGGGTGACACTGTCAACTTCAATGTTCTAAAATCTATTAGACGATTGTCGAGCTGCGAGAAGGAGCCTAGCACTTAGAGGCTTAGGCGGGCTTAAGTGGTCTTTTTAATTTTAACTATAAATATTATAAATATGAGAACATGTGTAAATTTTAGAGTATTTTATATTGGTTTTATAACATTTTCTAAGTCAATACCATTGTTCGGCCTTGTTTTCGCATTTTAAAAAAGTTGGCCGTGGTTTTGTATTCTGTGTACCATCATGTGTTCGACAGCTCGAGGTTTTGTTGTAGGATTACGTAAGTACATTCGAGGGAGGTTAGATTGCTTGGTTTTTCACTTGAAAGTTTGAAACCAATGGCTGGCCATATGCATCAATTATGCAAAAACATTTTACTCGAAGTGTTTACATGACAGTTCTTAACTAGCTTCGTTGCCATGCTTGCTTCGTTACGATCCGCAAATAAATAAATGAAGTAATCAGGTCTATAAATATAAAATTTTGAGATTACTGTCAATAAGGTGTTTTTAGGAATTTTCTGAAGAGTGGTGTTATCCATACACCCTTGTTAATTTTTATTTTACCTATCACATACCCTTATTAGTTTATGTTCTTGATTCTCTTCAATTCATTTGATCGCAAAAAATTAAGAGGTATGTGTGGAAGGCAAAAAAGAGTGTGGATAGCATCAGTGCATCACCGTTCCCTAATCAGTTGCCTTATCCTTTCGAGTCACATTAGTTCTTCATAAGGCAAATATTAAAGGCAAACAACTACATAACCCATCAAAGTACACATTCGTCTCAAAATTTGGGGTGGACGATGAGCAAATTTGTTGTGTCATCTAGTTATATCTCTTTGTGCAACATTAGTCACAATTTTGACTCATACATATATATCAACTTGAAATACATCTTTTCTAGCTCATTACTTTCAACACATTAAAGACAAGAAGGTAAAACTACAAGAAGTTAACAACTAAATATTTGGTAAACAAGATAAAATAGGACAACATATAACAATTTTCGCAAAGTTTTATACATGATACTTGCAATCATCAAATCTTATCATGTGAAGCAAATGGAAAGAGCCTTTGCTAGTTGAGCATCACCTTCCCGACAACGTCCATGTTAACTTCGTGTTAGAGCACGTCAGATTCGGATTATTCTGAGGATCGCCTATAGGTATCTCTTGTGTAAACAGAAAAGGCTTTGGAGGCATTTGCAGGCATTCAGCATCTCCTTCAAGCATCTCTATGACTTTGTTCATTGAAGGACGATCACCTGGTTTCATTTGTATACACCATAAGGCCGTTATAACCATCTTTTTTACCATCTTCTTTTCCTCTTCAGTGGCATCGCTCATCTCCAAATCTGTTCCTTCATTATATCGATCGTACACCCATGTTGGCAAGTAAAGTTGGCTCGAATGCTCTGCCAACGCGTCCAAATTCTTCCTTCTGCTCGCCATTTCCATTAGCAACATTCCAAAACTATAGACATCAGCCTTGTACGAGACACCTCCAATAGTTTTGTAGAACAACTCAGGAGCCATATATCCCATTGTTCCTCTTGCAGCAGTCAATGAGACAATGCTATTATCGGTTGGATATAATTTTGCGAGGTCAAAATCAGAAATCTTTGGGTTGAAATTCTCATCAAGAAGAATATTGTGAGGCTTAATATCGAAATGCAGAATTTGCATGTCGCAACCTTGATGTAGATATTCAATCCCTCAAGCTACTCCAAGAGAAATCTGATACATTTTCTCGTAACTTAAATATGTAGTTCCTTCTTTCAAATAAACATATTTATCAAGAGACCCGTTAGGCATGAAGTCATAGACTAGACAACGGTTTGATCCCTCGACACAATAACCAACAAGTTGCACCACGTTAACATGGTGAATCCTCCCAATGGTAGCTACCTCGTTGACAAAATCTTGTCCATTAGCTTTAGACTTGCCCAACATCTTAATAGCTCCAAAACGACCACTGCGCAAATTTCCTTTAAATACACAGCCATAGCCGCCTTCACCCAGTTTATCCTTGAATCTATTAGTCATCTTCTTAATGTCCGAGTAAGAATATCTTTTTGGGATAATACTGGTATCGCCTTGTAGAAAGTCTTCTATAGCGCTATACATTGACAAATTCCTTCTCCTCCATTTCATGATCCAAATCCAAACAACACATGAAGCCCCAAACATCAACTTTCCCACTGCTAATGCTCCTGCTCGGGAATTTTAAAACAAAATCATAAGAAACATAAATCAGATTACATGCCAAACTCACGATGTTTTCCATCGATGAAGAAGACAAATAGCTTACCAATGCTGATGATCGCTAGTGCCCGATATGCTGCAAGAAATATAATCAAAGTGAACAAAATCAAAAGACATGCTTCCAAATCTTACTCCCCCACTTCTTCCGTTATCATTTTCATAATTAACACATGTTCAGAAAGCTCATCTCATCATATGATGATACTATATATTCTTTTCAGCAAAATTAGAGTTTAAAATAAAGTGAAAGCATATGTAACTCTAATTAATTCACAAACCTGTGCCGGACAGATCTACTGGAGAGCCAGGAGAATACTGAAGCTCAAAGCCATACACCAGAGCATTGTGTATGTAACAGTAAGAACTTGCGTTTCGGTGATTATCAGTCCAGGAAGCCATGGCCGTCCACCCTATACTACACCCCTCCTCTAAATCTGACGCAATCACTGGGCCCACCACGACATAACTATAGGTTTTTAGTTGGGACAAAGTAGTACTACCACTTCTGGAAATATTTATGCATGGAGCTGTCTCTGTTGGAAATTCAAATAAAAACAGGTTGTAAAAGGTTGCTGCTAGTTGTTAGTTTCTTTACAGGTTGTATCCACACATGCTGCAACTACAAAGTCTAAAGTTTCCTCCATGTGCTGGCCGAAAGCTGATTACAAGACAGCAGTGTGCTGCCATGTGATGTGTTAGCCGAAAGCTGATTGCAAGCTGGAAAGATAGATGCATATGAGTGCTAGACTGTCCAAAGTTCCTGCATGTGTTTTAAAGGGTGTAAAGGATTTAAACACCCCATTCATTGCATGTGTTGTTGCATTGTTTATTAATTTCTGTTTTGTATAAATAAGCCTCCTTGCTAGGCTTTAGATGATCCCATCCGAATCCCTTTTTTTCTGATTGTATTCTCTCAGGTTCATAAGCTTGTAAGCTTCTGTCTTTTTTTCATCAGTTTGTAAACTGCCTTTTATTTCATATATCAAGAGAGTGTGTTTCGTGGAAGCTTGTTATTTCCTATCCCTTCTCCATTTGTTAGTCCAATTTTATTGAGAGTGGAAGTGAGAGGTGTGATAGAGTTTGTAAACTTATCACCCACATATTTTGGTATTGAGTTAGCAAACTCTTGTGAATACCAACAATTGGTATCAGAGCCAGAATACCATTCTGGCAAGTGCAGTAGCTATGGCGTCCAATTTAGTGCAACTCCAAGTTCCCACATTGAAGAAAGAAAATTATGAAAGATGGTGCATCCAATTCAAAGCATTGTTTGGATCACAGGAGCTATGGGAAGTTGTCAGTAGTGGGTATGTTGTACCCACTGCCGAGCAAGAAGCCGTATATACTACGGATCAAAGGAACACTCTCAAGGACTTACGAAAGAAGGACCAAAAGGCGCTGTATCTTCTTTATCAAGGATTTGA